ATGTCAAATTTCTTGAGTATTATTGGAGCTGCAGTCGTCTAGGCAAGTGCAGAATATTCCATCTCGCCTGACCTCTGTCTTGGGGTTAGTGGACAGACATTGGGAAGTCAGGAGGGAAGTTACTTGCCCCACTTCTGACATAATCTTATAGCCACTGTATTTATATAACTAGTCCAGTTCAGTTTCTGGTCAATGGTAACCTCCAGAATGTTGATAATGGAGGGTTCAGTGATGGTAACAACATTGAACATAAAGTGGCAATGGTTAGATTCTCTCTTGTTGGGAGACGGACATTGCTTGGCGATTTTTTGCTGTGAATGTTACTTGTCACCTATCAAATACAGCCTGGGTACTGTCCAACTCTTGCTTCATATGGACATTCGCTGCTTTAGTACCTGAGGAGTTGGGAATGGTGCTGAATATTGTGCGATCATCCCCACTTCTGACCCTTACGTTGAAAGGAAGATCATTGATGAAAGAGCTGATGATGGCTGTGCTTAGGACACAATTCTCAGGAACTCCTGCAGGGATGTCTATGAACTGAGAATACTAACCTCAAACAACATTTGTGCAGGGGACAATTCCAACCAGAGGAGAGGTTTGCCCTGAATTCTAATGACTCCAATTTTGTTAGGGGTCCTTGATGCATTGATTCAAAGAGAACTAACCACCATTTTCCTCAGGGCCAGTATGGGTGAACAAGGAACAATGGCACAACCACTGATGCCTACATCTCATGGCTGAATATATTTACAAGTGTCATATTTGTTGCCTTGATAGCAAGGGCTGTCACTCTCGCCTTGCCTCTGGGATACAGCTCTATTATGCATTTTGAACCAATGCTGTAATATGAGGTCAGGAGCTGAACGGCCCTGGTGGAACCCAAACGGAGTTTAAGCGAGCAGGTTATTGCTGTAAAAGTGCTGCTTAGTAGCACTATCGATAACACCTTCCGACACTTTACTGAAGACTAAGATGATAACTGGGAATGCCAAATCTGCCAAACCAAAGTTGTGTGTGGAGTTTGAGGAAAAAAATCAGTGCTAAGTAGTTCAGCATTCCCCTTTGCACATTATAGGATTTGTGTTGCTTTCCTAAGTGGCTATTGTCATGAGGAAATGCCTATTAAGCGCATTTGAATAGACAGCTCCAAATGGCTACAGAATGGAAATATTTATTTACATAAGGGATTGATCACTTAAATGAAATGCCAATTTTCATTAGGGCTAGTTGAAAGAACTTCTATATATTGATTTTTTAAAAATCAATACCATTGGATTTTGTTAAATTTTTGTTGGCATGGACAGGGAAGGCCAATTGGTTAAGGAGTGGAGGGATATGAGCCGACACAGAATTGCTACAGGGTCTATGCAAAGCCAAGGCGTGATTGAGGCAAACAAATGGGGCACTGAAGGAAGATGAGTAGAATGAATGGCATAGAGGATCTGAGAGACCATGGGAGATTGTAGATGGGCAGATGATGTATGACGGACCCCAGGGTTGCGTAAATGGGGATCATTTGACATTAGGGGCCATTGATGGAGTAAGGGCACAGGTTGGCATGAAGGGCACGGGGCAAATTTATGTATGGAGAGTGAGGTAGTGAGAGCAGGAGCACTTTTTTGTGTCTTAATCTTTACTTTTAAACTTTTAACACAGTACTGGAGACCCCAGGCAGTGTTTCTGACCAGGATACCATGTCGATCATCAGCTTTCCCCAATCTTCCTGAGCTGCTTGGCCTAAGTCCCAATCTAGCACCCTTTTTATATTCACTCCTGGGACATGGGCATAACTGGCTGGGGCAGCATTTATTGCCGATCCCTAGTTGCCCTGGAGTGAGTAGTGGTGAGTGCCTTCTTGAATTGCTGCAGTCTACATGCTGTAGGTGGACCACAATGCCATTAGGGAGGGAATTGCAGGATTTTGACCCAGTGAGAGTAAAGGAACGGTGTTATATTTCCAAGTCAGGATGACGAGTGGCTTGGAGGGGAACTTGCAGATTGTACTTCCCATGTATCTGCTGCACTTGTCCTTCTTGAAGGAAGTGGTCATAGGTTTGCAAGGCGTTGTCTAAGGATTTTTGGTGAATTTCTGCTGTGCTTCTTGTAGATACTTCACACTGCTGCTACTAAGATTCCTCAGTGTTGTTGGAATGACATCCATCCAGGAAAGTGGGGCGGGGGGAGGTATTTCATCAGACTCCTGACTTGTGCCTCGTAGATAGTGGAGAGGCTTTGGGGAGGCTTTGAGTTCCTCGCTGCAGTATTCCTAGCCTCTGACCTGCTATTGTGCCCTTGCCTCCAGAATGTTGATAGTGGGGGGTTCAGTGAGGGTAAGACCATTGAATGTCAAAGGGCAGTGATTAGATTGTTAATTGGAGCATCATTGCTTTCTGCCACCTCTCCCCTTCCCCATCCCTAGACTAAAAATAGGAAGTATGGGCATGTGATTATCCCTGCAAGGCCCTTGGGGAATCATGAATTTGACTCCTCATGGAGCTTGTTGAGTATGCGTTCCCTTGGTAACAGGCAAGGCTCTGCTTAACTGGAACTCATCACCTGAGCCCAATGCAGACCCAGGGTCATATCCGCCAACAATCTGCCCCTCTTGCTTGGTTACATTCGTGGCTGGGTAACGTTGGAGAGGGAGCACATGGTGCCCATCAATGCTCTTGACGCCTTCAGAGAGAGGTAGACACCGCCGGGCTCACAGCGCTTTATCTCCCTCTCCAATGCCATTTTGATTTAGTCCTTTTCCCAGTCTACCTCCCCATCTACCTCACCTTTGATGGTTCACATTGCCCATGATGGGTTTTGCTTGTAAATGTTTAATTGGCTATATGGGCAAATACTGCTGATGGTTTATTGTTCAAAAAAGGCCACGGTGATTTGGTGGTGACTAAGTTGTTGGTTGTGTGTATAGCACTTCCTGATTAACAAAGATGAAAAAAAAAGCAGACCCGGTTTGGGGGAAGGGGAGTGCGGGTTTGTCTTGTGGTGCAGTTGAGGTCATAAAATCCACAGAATTTCACAGAATCCCTACAGTGTGGAAACAGGCCATTCAGCCCAACGGATCCACACCGACCCTCCGAAGCGTATCCCACCCAGAGACATCGCCTACAAACCTGCATTTCCCATGGCCTAACCCACCTCGCCTGCACACCCCTGGACATTATGGGCAATTTAGCATGGCCAATCCACCTAGCCTGCACTTCTTTGGAGTCTCCCTGCTTCTAGCCAAGAGACCCTGGTTCAAGTCCCACCTGCTCCAGAGGTGGGTCACAACATGTCTGAGCAGCTTGATTAAAGTTTCTAGTTCCCATTCTTAAGGGGGTCTTGTGGAGTGGTGGTACTGTCCCTACCTCCATTTCAGAAGGCCTGGGTTCAAGTCCCACCTGCCCTAGAAGGGGTGTACTAACATTTCAGAACTGATTGACTCAAAAATATCATAAAACAGGCTGAGAGAGGCTCTTGTAGCACAGTGGTAGTGACCCCACCTCTGGGCTGTGGAGGTCTGGGTTCAAGTCCCATCTGCTTTAGAGGTGTGAGATAACATCATTCTAACACTCTGATTTAATAAAACAAAAGAAACCCAGGGGACTCTTGTTGTGCAGTCATAGTGTTCCTATCCCTGAGCCAGAAAGCCTGGGCTCAAATCCCAGCTGGTCCAGACCATGTGTACTAACATCACTGAATAGTTTGCTTAGAAAATAAAGCTGACCCAGGGATGGGCTAAGACTGTCTACACCAACAGGACTGGCTCCATTTTGGTGTTCAACAATAAATTATGTTCCTTACTAGTCGGGTTTCCTGAGTTATTACAAGGGATCTATTTTAAAAAGTCAGGTTCATGGAGCTGAGATCTTTCCCAGGTCTCTGCGCCCGCCCCGGGAACTAAAATTGGGGATAAGGTCTGAAGCATCTACAGCGGGCCAATCGGCAAATATGAGAATCGCATGTCCTGTTGAAAAGTAACTCCAGGCATTTCCTGGATTTCAGAGTTCTAGCCACAGAGGTTACGGAACGAAAAGCAAATGGCACTCAAAAATTAGACAGTCTTGTAAAATAGAGGCAGCTGGTCACCATGCCCCCTCTCCCCCACCTGCCAGCCCTCTCCACTTGGTGGGATTTAGAATACCAACCAGTTTGAGAAGTTCCAGCTTTGTAGAACTGAGAACTCTCTCTTTTCAGGTACCATGTGTGCACAGTAAATCAAATGTAGAGTGAAAGCAATCAGGTCCTTCACTATAACAAACTTTAGTCCAACCTCCTGGTGCATACACTTAGATCTTACACAACCCAGTCCTTTGGTCTTTGACTGAAGTTGCCTGTTTAATAGTAAATTACACAATCTATACTATAGACTTGTAGCTACAAACTAATTAAAAACTGTCTCAATTCCTTTTTTTGAGGTTAACAAAAGCAAACGATCTTCAACAAACACAGAAATTGCTGGAGAAACTCAGCAAGTCTGGCTGCATCTGTGGAGAGAAACAGAGTTAATGTTTCAAGTCCAGTATGACTGTTCTTCTTCAGAACTGAAAGGTATTGGGAAATAGGTTATTTCGAACACCTTTCAGTTTGATGTTGAGTGTCTCCAGCATTCTCTGTGGATGTTGAGGATTTCCAGCATCCTCATTATTTTGCTTTTACTTCTGTTTTTAAACAATCTTCAAGTGAGCTTCACTCAGGGCTGGGTTAGGAAATCAAAGTTCAGTTTGTTAATCATATGGAAACTTCGATACTTGTATTTAAATTGTGTACAAATTGATTAAATGGAACAAGTTCAGCTATTGCATCACAAGAGCTCAGATAAACTCAACTGTACCTCATTGCAGATTTTGACTGTTGATATCTGTGGTTGTATCAATATTGACTAATGTTTTGTTTAATGTGTTCTTCACCAGTACCATCAACAGCAAAAGACAATAGTGTTTTGCTTTTAACTTCAGAATGATATCTGTTTCAAAGCTTTTACTCATTTGATCCTTTCAGCTTACCATATCCCGCAGGGTTGCCCTTGCTCTTGGGTAGATTGGCTCGGAGAATGGCATTATTTAAGGTATTCAAATAGGTAGGCATGCTGTGATAGCCTTTGTTGTTGTAAAATGCCTACAGAAATAAAAGAAGACACAGTTAGTTAAGTGCTCCCTATTGCAGCCACATTTATCCTGGCCGAGTAATTGAAGTCAAGACACTGGTCAAGATTAAATTTTTGCTATTTTTTATGGCTTGTAATTGTGCATCCTCACACTGGTTCAACAAAGCCATTTTCTTTAATAAAGACATTGTTCTCTTAACTGCTTTTCAATAGATAAGTGATCTTCGTTCTTGCTTCATACTGATTTATTGATAAAGAAAATTAGGTCCAGCAAAACTTCAGACCAGAATTTTGCTATCAGTTTTATCCAAATAAAACGGGTGTAAATTGGGGCGAATGTACAGAACTAGCTCACTGGTTCTTTTGGCAGTTAACTTTCCATAAAGGTTTTGCTGACATTTTCCCTGGGTGTTTTGAAATGTAAATGAGCTCCAATTAAGCAGCAACAAGTTTTTGCACAATGACCAGACTTGTACCAACAGGTTACTCATCAACCTGTTCAGACCTGACCTTTTTGATGTTAGTGCTTTAAGGAATTCTGCAAACATGCCCCAAGGAATGTCTACACCCAGTGTGTTCACATCTCATTTTTGTCATTTAGTGCCTTCATAGCAACCTTTATGAATTCTATTAACATTCCAAAACTTAATTAATAGTAATACAAACTGCTGCTATGTTGAAGCAGAGCCTCAGGTGTCAAGACAGATACAAGGGGCATCTGGTAATAACGCAAATATGGTTTCAAGGACGAGGGTAGAGTGCTGCATGCTGTACAAGTGCACTCAGTAAAAGACATCGATATAGAGGGTCTAGAACAGGAGAACTCCAGGTACAGCTACAGGGGATCTCAATGAGGGGCTGGAGGAGACTGATTCAGATGTAAGAGAGAAACTGATGGTGGTTGAGAGGCGTCTAGCAAACCTTTACACAGGCGCGCTGTTAAGTTGGAGATGCAGCTATGAAATATGAGCATTTTCAACAGGAATATAAGCAGTGACCTTATGACAATATTGTTCATCAGTACGACTGCATGCACATGATTGCAGCAAACTCGGTTAATTGCTGTCATCTATTTTTCTTAAAGAACACTTCAACCCTCACATGCCATAAAGGCAACGCTACGTATTTATTAATATATTTAGCCTATATTTCTATACATTTCTCTTATCCTTTACTATTTGTATTTGCAGCTCCTGATCATATTTCATTTGCTACAACTTGCCGTTTGTAACCTATATCGATGATTTGGATGAGAATGTACAAAGCATGATTAGTAAGTTTGCGGATGACACTGAAATAGGTGGGATCGTGGACGGTGAGGAAGGTTATCAGAACTTACAGCAGGATCTTGATCAGCTGAAGAGGTGGGCCGAGAAATGGCAAATGGAGTTTAATATTGATAAATGTGAGGTGTTGCATTTTGGAAAGTCAAATCAAGGTAGGAGTTTTATGGTGAATGGTAGGGCCTTAAGGAGTGTAGTGGAACAGAGGGACTTTGGAGTTCAGGTGCATGGTTCTCTGAAAGTGGAGTCACAGGTAGACAGGGCAGTTAAGATGACTTTTAGAATAAATGGGAACCTGAGAGGCAACTTTTTGTTTTAAACACAGAGGGTGGTACGTATATGGAATGAGCTGCCAGCAGAAGTGGTTGAGGCGGGTACGTTAACAACATTTAAAAGGCATGTGGACAAATACATGGATAGGAAAGCTTTAGAAGGATATAGGCCAAGTGCAGGGAAATGGGGTTAGTGTGGATGGATATTTTCGTTGGCATGGACCAGTTTGGGCCAAAGGGCCTGTCTCTGTGCTGTAGGACTCTATGACTCTGACTTTACATATTTTCACTCTTTTTCTTCATTCTTTACAGTGACACTTTTTGGAATTTTCAATATATAGTTGTGGCAAGATGAGACAGTGAGTGAAGGTGATCTGCAAGAGGTACCACTGCCATTCCTCTAGCAACTGTATTTATATAGACATTTCGGAACTACATCCAGCATTGAGCAACCCAAACCCCTGATATTTCTCTTCCTGTAATAACATGCTGGCATCTAACTTCTGTTTGAGCAATGCACTGTCAATTTCATTGAAACATAGAAACAAAGAAGATAGGAGCAGGAGGAGGCCATTCAGCCCTTCGAGCCTGCTCCACCATTCTTCACAATCACGGCCGATTGTCCAACTCAATAGCCTAATCCTGCTTTCTCCCCATAACCTTTAATCCCATTCACTCGAAGTGCTATATCTAGTCACCTCTTGAATACATTCAATGTTTTGACTGTTTCCTGTGGTAATCAATTCCACAGCCTCACCACTTTTGGGTGAAGAAATGTCTCCTCATCTCCGTCCTAAATCGTCGACGCCGAATTCTCATACTGTGACCCCTGTTCTGGACACAGGGGTCTGACCTATCTCCTCCCTAACGCCCCACCTACACTCACCTTTACTGGCTCCATCCCTGCCTCTTAGACCTGTCTGTTTCCTCTCCACCTATCTTCTCCTCTATCCATCTTCTATCCGCCTCCCCCTCTCTCCCTATTTATTTCAGAACCCCCTTCCCCTCCCCCATTTCTGATGAAGGGTCTAGGCCCAAAATCTCAGCCTTCCCGCTCCTATGATGCTGCTTGGCCTGCTGTGTTCATCCAGCTCCACACCTTTTTATACCATTTGCCTTCTTTACCGCCTGCTGCACCTGCCACTTACCTTCAGCAACTGGTGCACAATGATGCCCAGGTCCCGCTGCACACTCCCCTCTCCCCTCTTTCAGGGGATGTGGACATCATTGGCAAGGCCGGCATTTGATGCCGATCCCTATTAACCCTGAGGTTGAGTAGGTTGCTTGGTTAGTTCAGAGGTCATTCACAGTGCTGTGGGTCTGGAGTGTGTCTAGGCCAGGCCAAGTAAGGACAGTGGATTTACTCAAGGACATTAGTGAACCAGATAGGTTATTACAATAACCAATGATAGTTTCATGTTTGTTATTACTCAAACTGGCTCGCAATTCCCATTCTCATTAATCTATTTCCCAAAGCATTTGGCTTGGCTTCTGAATTAGTAGTGCAATGACATTACCGCTACACAACTAGCTCAAGGTCTGAATTCAAGATCCATCTGCTCCAAACATGCGTCATTGATGGGTCTGAACAAATTGATAAGAATATATGTAACTGTGCAATATCTATTCCACTGTGAGAAGCTTCGAGCATTAATTAACAATTAAGATAAATGAAAGGCACAATGGAGAAGATACATGTAGTCCATGATAATATGCACTTGCAGGTGTAAATTGAATGCCAATTTAATGACCATTACAGTTAATGACTACGTCTGTAAACTTGTATTCACTGACAAATACATTGCCTACAAGCAAGTTATCCACTGTTTTGTAAAAGATGAATAATTTAATAGTTGTGTATTGAAGTTACTGGGGCACCAACGACCAATAGGGCGTGTCAGTTTGAACTTCAAACAAAAACGTGTATCTTTTCAACATACCTGCCCTTTCTTCACACAGGTAAAAAAAGCCCATTCAGAAGGCACTTTCAGGTCGCCGCAAAACACCCAGCAAAAATATACATGGAAGCTACTAACATACCAGGAAGATACTAACATACCCCCATACACACCTCTACAAAGGGCAGCAAAGGAGTGGGAAAGAGGATACATTCATGCAACTTGCCCTCTCACCAATTTCCCCATCCCCCTTTGTATATTATTTTATTGTTCACGAAGGCGCTTGCAAAAGGCAGATATAGACTGCTTAACAGGCGAAAGTGATGGTATCATGACATAGTATCCACAGCAACAGTACTGAAGCGGGTAGGGGGGGCCTATGCTCCCAATCACATTGGATGGAGCCGAGGTACGTTTCAATACCTTGTCGCTGTCTGAATTCCTAATGGGATTCTGGCAGCTCCTTGGGCAACCCCAGCTCCACATTTCCCCAAACTCTTTCTCAAATCTTTGCCCTATCCTCTAACTCGTAACTGCCTTCAGACCTGACCCCCTTTCCTGCCACCAAACTCCCACGAAGGGTCTAGGCCCGAAACGTCAGCCTTCCTGCTCCTCTGATGCTGCTTGGCCTGCTGTGTTCATCCAGCTCTACACCTTGTTATCTCCCACTCGCTCCTGCTGGTCAAGTAGCGGATTTGATTTTAGGTTGGCAGGACTGCCCAAACCTCTATTTAAGGGAAGGTCCGCAATTCATACTGACACGGCTGCCACATCCCTAAGCTCCTTGTGCGAGTGAACACACAATGTGCCCCTGGCCCTATAAAAATCAAGTGAAACAAATTGTGTCTCTCACTCTCGCACCTTATTGTACTGCTAATGCATTTGAATTTATAGTATTCAAGTCCAGTTAAGATAACCACAGACTGAAGCAACATATTACTTACTTCAGCGAAACAACCCCTTGTCCTACCTGTGCAGTTCTCCTCACTGCAATCTTCCGCACCATTGGAGCAGCCTTTGTACTGAAGGATGCTGGGATAGATTTGAGCACGTTGCCAAATGTCAGGCCTCCGTACCTGAGAAAATCAGAATATATTAAACAGGAGCACCAGGCAATTAGCATCTCTCCTGGAAAACACACATTTACAGCAGATTATTGGCAAGTGGAAGCTGATGGGCCTCAGGCACAGGGGGAAGAAACAAAATATGAAAAACCATAAGACCTGAAAGCAGATTTACTGGTCCGAACCTGTCACGTGTACCTGAAAGTGGAATTCCAGTTCGCAATTCTTTGTGGAAGACTGAAGAGGAAGCCCTTAAGATGACCAACGATATAGTCGCAAAAGTATTCCTTGATCTACAATGCTCTTCTAATCAGTGGAATGTTTCTACACTCTTCTTCCTTGATTTTCATACTGACTGTTGAGAAACAAGTCTCTCTACATTCTCCTTTACTTCTCAGGATAGATCCTCGATTTGAGGGTTTGTGAACCTGGGATTTTGCTCTAGACTGAGCGAGGAGGCAGGCCAGAAGTCTACTTCAGCTGGAACTGGGATCAAACCCCATGCTCTTGACATTAATCTGATCCACACACTAGTTGTCCAGCTAACTGAACTAATCATATATCACCAAATTTCAACGTTTCAATAAGAAATAAACAAGGTTTGTAAGGATTTAGCAAATTGAAAGGTTACTTGCTTTTCAATAACCTAGAATAACAGAACAGTTTTTGGGACAAACTATAGTTCCATTCAATTTCTAATCACCGTTCATTTAATGTCATCAACCTTGAATTTTGGAAATTATGCTTTTGAGTACTGGGTCTGGCAGAGAGAGGCCAGCAATGGGTCCGGGGGCCAGGGAGAGGCCAGCGATGGGTCTGGGGGCCAGGGAGAGGCCAGCGATAGGTCCGGGGAAGAGGGAGGCGAGTGATGGGGTCTGACAGGGACAGGCATGTGTTGGGCTTGGGAGGCAGGGAGAGGTCAGTGATGGGTCTGAGGTCCCCAGAGGGTGGATGGAATCGTGTTGGGTTTGGGGGTGTTGGTCAAATAGGAGGAGTTGTCAGGGATTGGGGAGGTGCAGTTGCTAGCATGCCTGGTGAGTTGGGGGGGCACTTTAATAGTTCCCCAGGTACCAGACATGTTTCCTAATCCTCTAAACTTTCCTGGGTAGCTATTTGCTTAACCGAAGGGAACCCTCTGAATTCCCACCCTCTTATGAATTACTTCAGAGTTCTCCAGATGCAGGGTAGTTGGCAATCACAATTGTCAATATCTGGGATATGGGGAGGTGGGGGGGGGGTGGTTCAGCTGGATCAGCGGGGGAGGGTGTGGGGAACTGCGGTATATTAGGGATTGCGTGTGGTTGGGAGGGAAGGTTCATTGCTGAGTTGGGGCATCAGAAATTACAGCAGATTGTTAATCCTCTCATGTTTCCTGGCAAACTATTAAACTTAAAGTAGATTAGAACCCTTGGAAGTCTTTTGTTGGAAAGTTTCAAAGACGGGACAATTGACAACCGGAAGTTCCAATTTCCCAAGCAATTCTGTTGGAATGAGCTGTGTTAGAAACTCTGTACGGTGTCGATGTGCAACTCCAGTCTACACAATGGCAACAGCTATCTGCCCATTAGAACACCAGCGCCATTATCTTAGCTCAAGCCTTTACAAATGGGTTATTCCCGTATTTCTCTTCACAGAGTCCCAACAAAAAAAACTGTTCCATCATCTTATCTCATGCCACCACAGCAGTAATCTCTTCAAGAAAAATAATGAGACACATCTTCAATTAAAAGTAGAGAAATTATTGGGAAAGATTTTTTGCTGCTTCGCGGTGGGTAATTAGAGAAAAAATGGTTGGAAATAGGAGGAGGGATTAACGTGAGGTGAATTCAGGAAGGTGGAAAGAGAATATTATAATCATTATAGACTCTCAAGGAGTGTGTACAAAGAACAACCAGATCTCACTGGAATGAGATCTATTCAGATGCCAGGTACTTTCTGTGATACATACAAAAGCTGAATACTCCACTTTTAGGATTAATTTATTCCAATTGGGAAAAAATACCAAATTGCAAAGTCGTATAATTTTTTTTTCACAATACACAATATAAAATGGATAGAAGAATATTCAACTGATCAAATGCCGACTATGGAAAATAATTTTATCACTGAGGATTAGAGATACCTTTCTCATTTTGGGCTATTGAATTCAACATTAAACATTTCCAAGTGGAATAAAATCCCACTCTACTCATTCCATGAATTTGCTAGTATTTCCTTGATTAAGGGGGCAGTTCTAATCCACGTGCTTCAAATGTTAAAAGGATTAGAGAGGGTTAAACATGCAAATGGCTTTTCCAACAGAAGGGAAAGCAAGGTCAAGGGGACTTCACCTTCAAACGAGAGTGCGATCATTTGGGAGCTACGTCAGCAGACACAATGTCCCTCACAAAGAGTAGCAGAAACTTGCAGCTTCCTCTTTCGAGAGATCACTATCACTGGGACATCTAATGCTCAATATCCTAGCAGTCTGCATGGAATCTTGTGCCCTTTTCCTGTGGAAATTTTGGTAGTTGGGAGGTGGGGAGGGGTAGGGGGGGAGGTGGGGAGGGGTAGGGGGGAGGTGGTATTTAATCCAGTTACTGAGGGACCATTTCATGAATGCCTGCTCCAGGTTCTCAACCTGCCACTGAAGTTGGCAAATCAATGGTGGGCAGCAGGGGGTCACCACGAGGGCAGCATGACAAGCGAACCCCAATGACCTTGCTTTGCAGGTTTCCCAGAGACAATCCCTCATTCAAACACATTCAGTATCTGACCGACGGTCTCTGTATCAGGAGGGTCAGTGGGGGTCACTTCCCTGCTATTGCTGCAGACCCCATCCTTTGCAGTGTTCCCCTCATCCCTTTGTCACTCACATGTACCCAGGTCCCTCCCCTATGAAGGGCCTTTGGTGGGTGCAGTACCAGTAACAGCTACTGCCTCTTGGGGCGCTACTTCTTTACATGGAGTGGAGAGTGCCTGGTAAATACCACAAGATGCAGTGAGCCTTCCCAAGAAATAGTGGCACGGGGGTCTCGCCAGCTCTCTAGCCAATGGCCAATACCACCTACCACCCTAAACCTGTGTCCACGTCACTCAGATCCCATAAATTAATTACATTAAGTAATCTTCCTATAAAGCAATGGAGTCATGTTCCAGCACACCCGATAGGAGACGGAGGATAAACAAAATTAGCCACATTAAGACTGATATAAATCAACTAAAAAATTAAGGTAAAGATAAATGTGCTTGCATCTAAGTGGTAATTTGGGGAATTTTGAGTTCCTCAACTATAAGAACAATTAAGATAAATTAGCCCTCCTTCAGGAGGCACTCCAAGATGAGATTAAGTGAGGGGGGAAAACTGAGAGGCAGAGTTCAATGTGGGAAACTGCAGGGGATATCCAATTAAGATTCTGCAATGACAAACTGGAATATTTCCTTAATGGCAAAAGGTTAGCAGTTTCGGAGGAGTGAAGGAAGTTAGGTGTGCATGTAATACACATCGACAAAAACTGGTGACCAGGTTAAAAAAGTAGTCTAATAGGTTCAGCCTTTAGCTGGAAAGGGGATTGAAATATAACAATGAGGATGTGGTGTATGAATTGCACAGACTCTTGGTCAAAACCCATCTGCAGAAATACACTCAGTTTCCAGCAGATATACTGACCTTGGAGGGAACATAGGATAGATCTGTGAGAACCACTCCAACATTTAAAAGGTTAAATTGTAAGGCAAGGCTGTCAATGTCTGGACTGTATCCCCTTTGAAGTTAGAAGTTGTGATCCAAATGAGGCATTCAAAATGATAACTGGATTTGAGAGAGCAGCTGGACTTTAGGAAGGATGTGAAGGCTTTGGAGAGGGCACAGAAGAGATTTACTCGAATGGTTCCGAGGATGAGGGATTACTACGTGAGAAGACTGGAGAAGTGGGAGGTGGCTCTTCGACCAAAGAAGGCTAGCAGAGTTGGTAAAGTGTTCAAAGTCATGAAGTTTATCAGTGGAGCTAATAAGGAGAAAGTGTTTCCAATGGCTAAAGATGTAAATTAGCAGAGGGTACAGTTCTAAGATAAAAAATAAAACACTGAAAGTGCTGGAGAATATCAGCAGGTCTGGCAGCAGTGAAAAGATGATTGGCAACAAAAAAACAAATGCAACAGTATGGAAAAGCTCACTAACACCACAAGTGGTTGGGATTTGGGAGGCTCTGCCTTGAAAAGGTGATGGGAATAGATTCAATAATAGCTTCCAAAAATAAATAGATACATCAGAGGTGAAGAATGAAATGCTGGGGTATGGGGAAAGAACAGGGGAATGGAATTATCCGAATTCATTTCCGATAAAGCTGTTCAATAGGATAAATTGGCCTCCTTTGGCATTGTGCCATGATACTGTGAAACTATTTCTTTTGCTGGGGGAATTAAGAATGTGGTGGGGGTGAGCGTGGAACAGACGACAGCACATTGCTGAATTATATCGATGGACTGACCTTGTGTTACTTACATCTAATCGTGCATTGTTCTATAGAATCACAGAAAATTGGAGGGGTAGGGTAGGCCACTTGACCCATCAAGCCCACTCCACCATTCCACATAATCACGGGGCATGTCTATATCAGGCCCACTTCACCATTCCACATAATCACGGGGCATGCTCTATATCAAGCCATAACCCTATTCAAAATCCTGGTTCAAAATCGTGGAATTCCTTCTCTTGTGGCATTGTGGGTCTATCTACAGCACATAGACTGCAGCGGTTCAAGAAAGCAGCTCACCACCACCTTCTCAAGGATAACTAAGGATGGGCAATAAATACTAGACAGCCAGTGATGCCCATGTCCCAACAGAGAATAAAAAAAACACTCTCCTAATACACCTAGACACCTTTAGACACTATTTCCTCCTTAAATGTATTCAGCGATTTTGCCTCCACAGCCTTCTATAGCAGAGAATGCCATAGGTTCACCTCCCTACTGAGTAAAGAAATTTCTCCCCATCGCAGCACAAAATGGCCTGCCTTGTTTCGAGAGACCATGACCTCTTGTTCTATACCTCCCAGCCAGAGGGATCAACAGCCCTGCCTCCAATCTTTCCAGCCTTATCAGAATTAAATAGGTTTCCATTAGATCCATCTCATTCTAAACTCCAGTAAATACAGGCTCAGTTAACATAACCTCTCCTGATAGGACAGACCTTCTTCATCCCAAGAAGCAATCTAGTGAGCCTTTGCTGCTGTGTGCCAAATACAGGGGGTCAGTATTAGCAGCTCCATGGTCTGTGTGTATGATTGTCAATCTACAGTACAGTAAAAGCTGACCTGTTGGACGGCTTTAGATCTATGCAATCACATTCATTAGAAGATATAATAAAATTGCTCAAGTATATTTTTATTGCGATTTCCTGCAATTGGCACCAAGGGTTCACATTTTTTCATCCTGTCCAAGGAAGAAGCTGAATAATTTTATAGTCACTGAGTCCAACATGTAAACCAGTGTTCTATTGCTGCAAAGAGATAAATAGTCAGATGCCAAAGGCAACAATTGTACAAACCTATGAAGCCTGAAGCGATCAGAAGTGTGCAGAATGTACTCAGAAACATTGCGGCCTGTAATATCCACCAAAATATCGCCTGTCACTACTTTCTTCTGTGGGGGATGCCCTCCAACTCCATTTGGGCAGGAGAAACCAGTTCCTTGCATCGAACAGCTACATCGAACTGGCTCATGTATGGGACGTGGAGCTGATGGGGATGTTGTAACTGTTTCTGAAAAACAGAAAGATTAATAAAGTTAGCACCTGTTCAAACAATAGGCATTCAAACATCATATTTAGACAAGGATACATTTTAAAAATGAATTTAAAAAAAAAAAAAAAAAAAAAAAAAAAATCGGCCATGTACTGTGCATTCAGACTTAAGTGCTCAACAACACCAACATGATGTAGTACTTTAAACAGTAAAACGTTACAGTGCACTGCATAAGAACCTTTTCAAGTAAAAGTGTCACTTTTGTTATTCACTCAGGGAGCAAGCATCGTTGCCTAGGCCAGCATTTATTACTCATCCCTAATTGCCCAGAGGGCAGTTTAGAGTCAACCACATTGCTGTGGGTCTGAAGTCACATGTATAGGTCAAACCATGTTAAAGACAGCAGATTCCTCTCCGAAAGGACATTAGTGGACCAGACGGGTTTTTCCGAAAATAGTTTTGTTGTCATCATTAGACTACCGGATTTCAATATTTATTGAATTCAAATTCCACCATCTGCCATGACACGATTCAAACCCAGGACCCATTTGAATATTTCCAGGGTCTCTGGATTACTACTCTAGCAATAACACCACGAGATCATCACCTCCCCTTTGTTAGTAAGTCCTGTGTCTATCTGATGAAGATGGATGAGGAAGGATCACCCTTGCAAGTGATTACATTGTTGCCATCAAAAAAAAGACATTTTCAAAGGTGAAACCTGATTATCTATTTGTAAAACTTTATTTGGAGCCTGAAACCTTGGTCTAAGTGCATCCAATCCAACTTTCTATCCTTTCACCAATGATGCCTAGAAGGTCATGAGGTGTGGTCATCATCCCATATATGCTTCTTTTGAACCTGTAACAGCTTTTGGCCTCAAGACTTCACAGTTAAAATAGTCACACATTTCTCAGTTCATTAACTTCCTGACCTTCAGGTTTTTCTAACATTCGACAATGGTTTTGTGGTCATCACTAGACTCTTAATTCCATATTCTTCATTGAATTCAAATTCCACCATTTGCCATGGGAGGATCTGAACCCAAGTCCCAGATCATTAGCTGAGTTTCTGGATTAATAGTCCAGCAATAATATCACTAGGCCATTGTCTCCCCTTATTTCTTTCCGAGCCATATAGAGAGACAGGTGGGCAAAAGTTTATTCACAGAGATTAATGTTAAAGAATGTCTTCAGGGAGAGGAGAGAATAAGAAGCAGAAAGGTTTAGGAAAGGAATTACAAAGCTTGGAGATCCAAAGGGTCAGTTGTAAAAGAAGATGCTAGCAGTGTCACACAGGTAGCCTGGTTTGGAGAGAGACAGAAATATCTATGGGTTCTAGGCCCGGAGGGAGTTACAATGATCAGGAGGGGTAAAGTCATGAAGTAATTTGAATGGAAAGATGAGAATTTTAAATTCAATGTGTTGCTTGATCAGGAGGTAACATAGATCTGGTATGTATAGGTAGGTGATGGATAATAAAAAACTTGAACAGTCCTATAAGTAATCCCGGTCGATTCCAGAAAACGAAAGGCTGGAAAAATGCCTTCGAAAATCAATCAATCAAAAAAACGGCTGAACTGTAACAGATTGTGGATTTTTTTTTTTAAAACAGAAATAAGACCATTTCATTTTTGTAATTATTTCAAAATTAAATATCATATCCCTATTAATAGAACATTGTAATTTCTTAAAGGATTGAATTGAGCTTAATTACTTTCACTTTTTGCACAGAAGTTGCGAGCATATAATTTTTATTTGGATTAGATATTAACGACTATATGGCCTAAATGGGAAGTAGCTTAAATAATGTATTTCATCTATCTATTTGAAAGGAGCTTGGTTTTTAATAAACCAACTGAAGTTCAAAGATTCCCATTTAGACATAAAGTACTTTAAAGCCTCATTTAATTCTTGGTCCCAAGTTCCAGGTGAATCAGCAATCAAATGAGCAATATTAAGGCTGTAAGAGCTCCCTCATCACAACTAATGAGTCCTATAATAAACCCCATTTAGAAGGAGGTGACTGTTAATCTAAAACAGCATCTTCATCAATCTGATGTTTAACGCCCTACATACATGACAGACACTTTCGGTAAAAGCATGCTGCTTAAACACTTATAGTTAGACAGAAACATGTTATTAAGACCCGGAAATCTAACCTGGCCTCTTTAAATTTTAGTAGCCCTTTTAGTTAAGGTTTCATCTGTGATTCAGTGGGTAATAGACTCATTGCTAAGACAGTACTTCGCAGATTGATGTCCCTACTCCACAGACTTATATTAGCAGTTAACACATCAGCTATTCAAGTAACCAATTCTGCCTTTGATACCACCTTCTGCATGATCAGTTAAACTGAGACACTCTCTAATTATGTGACCATATAAAATATAAAACAGATGGCTTAATTCAAAGAAAGGGAAAATTATTACCCTGGGCAATATTTATCTTTTATGAACATTATTAAAATAAAACCTAAATATTATGACAATACTGTTTGTGGGGCCTTTCTGTTCAAACATTGCCTGCCACATTGCAATAATGACTTTGTTTCTTTAAAACTAATCTTGTGCTAAACTTGTGCTAACATTATGGGATACTTTGACCTGATCTGTCCATTAGAAGCATTTCCTGCACCATCTAACGTCGCTGTACTGTGCAAGGACTGAATGGACTTAGTTATCATAAACTGAACATAGAAAAATAGCTGGTGGGTTTGTAACAATGGCTCATTTTGTGGAACAGCTGTGTAAAGTCAGGATAAATTACAGGCAAGACATGGACTGAATCTCATCTGTCACCACCAGGAATGGTGTCACTTTAATAAAAGCCAAAATGATGTCTTCTTCACCAGACTGTGCAGGAGCGAAGCAGAATTATGAATCTAGTTCCAAATGTATAAACAGGCTTTCCAAAATGACTTTTCTGATGACACCAAAAATTACACACTTACGAAAGCTGGCAACTAAAGATTTTAGCTGCAATTCAAATGCTTTGCTGGGAGTTTTTGAGGATGATTTCTTTGGAAGCTGTTCATCTCATTTTAAAAAAAAAAATCTCATCATCTTTGGTTTGACAAAATAACACATGTTGTTTTAGAACAATCTTATCAGAAATAAGATTGAAAGCAGAGAGCACGCAGTACACCAAAGGAATTTTAAATACACTGTCAGAGGAAGCTAAATGTTAGAGTACTAACCTGAAGGTCAGGAACTTAATGAATTGAGAAATGTGTGAGTATTTTCACTGTGAAGTCTTGAGGCCATAAGCTGTTACAGGTTCAAAAGAAATATATATGGGATGATGACCACACCTGGTGACCGCCTAGGCATCATTGCTGAAAGGATAGAAACTTGGACTGGATGCACTTAGACCAAGGTTTCAGCTCCAAATAAAGTTTTACAAATAAATAATCAGGTTTCACCTTTCATGAAAATGTCTTTTTTTTTATGGCAACAGTGTAATCACTTGCAAAGGTGATCTTTCCTCATCCATCTTCATCAGATAGACACAGGACTTACTAACAAAGGGGAGGTGATGATCTAATGATGTTATTGCTAGAGTAGTAATCCAGAGACCCTGGAAATGTTCTGGGACCTGGCTTTGAATTGCGTCATGGCAGATGGTGGAATTTTCAATAAATACTGAAACCTAATAGTCTAATGATGACAATGAAACCATTGTTGGAAAAGCCCATCTGGTTCACTAATGTCCTTTAGGAGAGGAATCTGCTCTCTTTAACCTGATCTGGCCTACATGCGACTCCAGACCCACAGCAATATGGTTGACACTTAATTGCCCTCTGGGCAATTAGGGATGGGTAATAAGTGCTGGCTTGGCCAGTGACACCTATATCCTGTGAGTGAATTTAAAACAAAACTTGGAATTGTGGCCATTTTAACACATGAAGTTACATAAGGGAGCAGGAAAATCAAAAGACAGCAAGGATAAAACGGGCCTTGAACATGAAGGTAAAATAGACCATGGTGAATTGGCAGCCTGTTTTACACATCATCAGAGTTTATTTTTAATTCATTAAAAGAATGGCCCTCCCTAATTGCCCAGACGGCAGTTAAGAATTAACCACATTGCTGTGGGTCTGGAGTCACGTGTAGGCGAGACCAGGTAAGGATGGCAGTTTCCTTCCCTAAAGGATACTAGTGAACCAGATGGGTTTTTCCAACAATTGACAACAATTTCATGGTCATCATTAGACTCTTAATTCCAGATTTTAAAAATTAAATTCAAATTTCCCCATCTGCTGTTGTCGGATTTGTATCCGGGTCTCCAAATCAAACTGGATCTCCGGATTAATAGTCGAGCAAAAATACCACCAGGCCATCAGCTCCTTTAGTGGCGCATTCGAGAACTATTCCAACAAATCAGATAATTGAGTATACATGATTCAAGCTGATTTATCCTGATCTCCGGAAACAACATTTATTGTATTATTACAAAAGTGTAACTATTCGACTGCAGATGCTGGAGAATCTGAGATAACAAGGTGTAGAGCTGGATGAACACAGCAGGCCAAGCAGCATCATGGGAGCAGGAAGGCTGACGTTTCGGGCCTAGACCCTTCAT